AAAAAAAAAAAAAAAAAAAAAAAAAAGAGTCTTCAACCCCCGGCAAATGGCGAAAGAGCATACCCAAAATAAGCACCCTATCCAAAAAAGAATACATAGCCCACACATTCGGCGCCCAATATGCATGACACAACCCTCTCGAAAACGGAAACAATCTCTCCTTCAACTGGCCCAACTGGCCCCAGTACGCAAACGGCCCAAACGCCACGGTAAACACAAGCACCACCCCTGCCCCCAACTTGACAACATTGCCCCATCGCGGCCGAAAGACAGAGCCTTTCGGATGCAGACAGAAGGCGCGGAGCAGGTAGACGAAGTAAGCCAGGGACAGGTAGAGGTAGATATGCTTTAGGCAGAGGAGAATGGCGAAGAGAATGCCGCTGTAGAGGAGGGTGGATTGGTTACGGGCGAGGACGAGGGAGAGGATTAGGATTCCGTAGAGGAAGCCGTTGTATTGGAAGTGGATGTGGTCTATTATCAGGAGGCCGGGGGAGAGGAGGATGGAGAGCGCGGCTGTGTGGGCTAGTTTTTTACCGGGTGGGGAGACGGATTGGACGTATCTGGTGGGTTGGGAGAGGGGGGTTGGGTTAGAATGAATGCCACATCCCCCCTTACTTGGTATAATTGCCCCCCTCGCTGCTTCTGGGAGGATGGGAAGACGCACCGGTATAGCGCAAAGACAAGAGCTAGTTCCAGGGAAATGACGGAGAAGCGCTGGAAGTAGACCGTCTGCCAGGAGGCATAGTTTAGATTATCCAGTTTTAGCATCTCTGGATCGATGTGGACGGCTACTTTTGAGAGGAGCCATTCTAACCACCCGAAGAACGGGGGGTAGTCGAGGGTCCATTCGGAGGTGTCCTGGTTCGTCTGTCAGTACACAACGCGAATAAAGAAGAAGAAGAAGAAGAAGAAGAAGAAGAAGAAGAAGAAGAAGAAGAAGAAGAAGAAGGAAAGGTCATAAGCAACGAGCTCGAACTCACTTCATAATACCACTTATCCACGGGGAGAGAATGTGTGATTGCAAGCCAGTTACGATGGACTTCAAAATCAGTCGATTTACTAAAAATGGGTGTTTTAACGCGCATTAGCTTTTTGGGTGTTGGTTCATGTTCAATCATAAAATCCTATTTAAATAGAAATTACAATAATATATATATATATATGTATGTATGTATGTATATATTGGAAGCAAAACTTACTAGGCCGGGAAAATGAGGATCTTGAGCGCCGTCGCGACAATGGCGCATTGCGCCAATGAAGGGTATAAATCAGCCATAGAACATGATTGGAACTACGGAGCTTCAGTTCCCTGGTGGGATAATATGCAGGAAATCGTAGATGAGAAGATCTGCAACCGGATCTTTCCAAATCTCGTGGCAAGCTCCGATCCGACACCTTTTTCCCCCTTGTCGCATTCACATTCCAAGCGTTGGATTGGAGTTGAGGAACGTTGGAAGGTTGAATGTTTGCACTGTTTGTTTGATCTAACTAACTAGAGTTAATAGGGAGAGCATGTGGCTGACATAAGCCAGGGGTGCCGGGGTGTGTTTGGCTATCCTGCAAACACAACGCCCCCCCTTTAATTGAACTAGCTGGGAACAGCCTGGACGAGTTCTGAGGACAAGCTGGCCCGAATGAACAGGCGGACAATTGGTGATGAGAGGGTGGAGAGAGTCTTTCCTTGACCACACGCCCCCGGTGGAATGACAAGGTTGGAAGGACGATAGAAGTTACGTTTGATTAGCGGTAAATCATACATCTATCTGATTTGCTAGCCAACAAAAAGCTGGAAGGAGAAATAGAAGTAATGTGGAGCAGCCGTTGAGCGAATCTCCTCTCTCTCTTTGATTCTGGGCTTCCCGGTTTCCTAGGGTTTCTCAGCGCATACCCGCAAAATTCAATCCCTGAACACAACCCCCCTTGATATCACCCACACTCCTTACAGACATTAGCAACAACCTCAAGGGCTATCCGTGGTGTGCTGAGGCGGCGGGATTAGAGGAACCGTTCCGGCAGCTTGGGAGGCCTGCTGTTGCGCTTGCGATCCATAACTGTTTGCTGGGATAGCAGTTCTACTATAGCACAACTCCACACTTTGCCTCCACGCCATATGCGAGGATTTTCAGATCATCCATAGATACATTTCACAATGGTTCGATCATCGGGAATTGCCAATTCCCTAGCAATAGCTTTGGCATTTGCATCGGTTGCGCAGGCTGATACCATTATTGCCAAGTCGAGTTTCGGTCTTAATGGCAGGTATGTTCTATGCTTCACGCCGTCAACACCACAGGGGGGTTATCTCCTGTTGGGTATCCAACTTGGGCTTCTCTGACAGAGGCCTTTTTCCAGGATATCGGCAGACAAGCAGGTGATTCCCGGCTGGAAGATATATGGAACAGGACACATGCCTGTAAAGGTCCGTGGTGGCTTCATTTTTTTTTTTTTTTTTTTTTTTTTTTTTTAAACAAGAAGGTGTTTTCAACTGTGAATGAGGTATACCTATTAATGCCTTGTTCAGCTGTCTGACCGGGTTATTTTGACACCCCCACATACTGGCAATAAACGGGGTTCCCTATGGGCGGAACAACCGTAAGTTAACTCTTATCCAACTACCAAGGGGACTTTTGAGGGATATTAACACGTTAGCAAGGCTTGACTCGACGGAATGGACCGTCGATTTCGAATTTAGAGCCAACGGCGAGGAGAGAGGAAGTGGAAATCTTCAGCTGTGGTACGTGAAGGATGGACAGTCTAAGGCCTCCACAGCTTCCATATACACTGTTGGCCTCTTCGATGGATTTGCACTTGCAATTGATACGCATGGTGGAAGAGTAAGCAGATAATACCGACTGAAAGATTTTATCTCCCCGTCGTTTCCCCCTATGTGCGAATCAGCTTGTGTTAACTTGTATGTTAGGGAGGCAGCATCCGGGGGTTTTTGAACAACGGTAATACGGATTATAAGAGCTCCAACGTTGACAGCCTAGCTTTTGGACGTTGTGACTACTCATATCGAAATCTTGGGCGTCTCTCTCGTATTCAAATTAAGCAGACGAGATCTACTTTTGAAGTCCTGGTTGATAATAAACGCTGCTTTGCTACGGAGAAGGTGATTTTAAATGGATTTCTAGTATTATGTTTACTCTTTTCTTTTTAACTAACAGTCAACAGGTGGTTCTCCCGCCAGGAAACACATTTGGAATCACCGCAGCATCAGCAGATACCCCAGATTCTTTCGAGATCTTCAAGTTTGCCTTGAGTGTACCCAATGCAGCGCAGGGGGACCAGTCATACCAGCATCGCTCTTATGAAAACCAGCACACGCCCAACGGAAATCAGAATGGAAACGGGAAGCAGCAACAACAGCAGCAGCAGCAGCAACAACAACAACATGCCCCGAGAGCCGACACCAGTGCCCTTGAAACCCGACTCAACGACCTAACAAACCGTTTCCAAACCCTAACGACCACCACTGAACGCCTCCTTAATGAAATGCAATCCTTATCCAGCAAACTCGACGAGCGCCACAAGGAAGTACTGAAAAAGTTAGCGCAAAACCGTGACCAGGTGAATACTATTGAGCAGCGGATTCAGCGGATGGATAGATTGCTCGAGGGCGTGCAGAAGCAGTTTAAGCTGTCGCATTCGGGGGTTATTGAGCATTTGCAGTCAACTTCGAATCGTACGTATCTTTTCTTGCACTGTTTCCCTCTATCCTTTTCTCTTAGAACTTGATGTTTGAAGATTCTCGAACGTAAAAACTAACCGAACCCCCTCTTTCTCAACAGAAATCCTCTCCTCCACGCCACGAATGGGATTTCTCATCTTCCTAATAGTCGTGATTCAACTCGCCCTTGCCGGCTCGTATATCCTCTATAAACGCCGCCGTGTCAACCTACCCAAGAAATTTTTGTAATGGGATAGAAAAGCTCGTTTTTTTTTCTTTTCTTGTTTATTTAAGAAGAAAGAACAGCAGCAATGTAGACGGAAAACGTTCATGAAAAGCAAACATACCATCAACTGTCCAACGGATATGATAATGGGAGGAATATGAAGTGGTCAAACTGATTAAAGAAATTTTTTCTTTAAAAGAAAGAAAAAAAATGAAAAAAAAGTGTCCAGGCATCAGAGAAAACGGAACAAATCAACAAACCATGTGTTGAAATTACATTTCCTTAACCCCTTTTTTTTCCCTATTACCTAGCAACATCTGCACCTATCTCTTCCTCTCTTTTCCTTCCATGTTATACAGCATATCCTGCCACGTACACCCCCGCCACCTCTTCAGCCTATCTGCTTACCGCTTTGCTTGAAATGTACTCTACCGCATCCCATATATGCATAACCATTAACCCTGCGCTCAGTTCAGCGTCGAGATTCACCCAACCTTCCTTTGCTTTTGCTTTTGCTGATGCCACTACGCGCGCATGCTCTTTTTCCGGCTTTGCCTTTTTCCATCTCCACGCCCGCGCTTGCTTGCTTCCCTTTTGTTTGCCCCCCCTTTTTTCTCCAACGTCAGGTACACTCTACCACCTCCACAATACGTCAATGTCTTCTTTTCTGCCCCTTGTCATCTGTTCCGCTCTGCTGTTATCGTCGTTGTCAATGTCATTTGCTATGTTATGCTATATTGCCGCATGGTCCCGTGTTCACACTGTATTTTCGTACTGTTATATTACTCTATATCGTAGCCAAGTTGATTTTGGATGAAATGCCATCATAAATAACGACTGTACCAGTGTCACTATATCCCCCAAACCCATCCATCCAGCTGCTGCAAACCAAGCCACGCCCTTCTAAGTTATTAGTTAGCTACCCCGAAAATAGACAAGAAAAATCATAACCTATAATTTACCTCCAAAGTACCACCCAAATGAAGTACACCATAAAAATAGAAACTTGAACTAAAACGAAGTACGGAGAAAAGACAACCCGTCTCAAGACAAGAAAAGAAAAAGAAAAATAAAAAAAAAAATAAAAAATAAAAAAGAAAAATAGAAAAACAGCAGCCTCTCGAGCCCCACTATAAGTTCCCTGCGTGACGTTTCTGCGTTGCTTCCTTCCATCGAAGCACTCAGTGACATTAGCCACCAAGAACCGCCAAGCCGAAGTACCCCCTTTTCTATTAGTCTATGAAGACACAACTGGTCGATAAAAGGCAGAGGATAGGAACGGTGAAATTCTATCCCCAGATTCCACGGCCCCGTTCGATCTATTAGAAAGAAAGGGGTGGCAAAATAAAAACCCTCATATCACACCATCAAACACGCAGACACAGAACATAGAGCCATATGGATGCAATGTAGTTCGTGACACTTGTATGCATTTTCCTTGTGTGTTGCGAGGTTGCCTGACGAAAGGCAACGAGTCCCCCCTCCGCGTTTAGCGGTCTATATACAGGAAGATAAAGAAGCAAACATGAATAACAATTAGCAAGCCGTCTCAGCGGCGGATACAGAGAAGAAGGAAAGAAAGAAGGAAGACAAAATCCTGGATGCAGACATCCATGAAGAGTTGCGTGGACAAGACACGACAAGAGTTGAAAAATCGAACATGCTGAGAAAGACGAACAAGGAAATAGCCGGATATGGTTCGTGTCGATGGCTTTTACACAGCAATGAACCTGTGGTACATGAAAGAAGCGGTCAACACTACCAGCGCCCAAATCGTTGACTCGTAGAAGGATGGATGATGATTGACGTTGAATGAGTACCGATAGGGCGCTGGTAAGGAAAAGAGAAGACAGGAAACAGTGAAAAATAAAACCAAAAACTAACGCATATGCAATTCGCTTCAAAACCACATAAAAGGGAGTTTATGGATTTGAGTTGTGAACTCCCCAAACACCTCTCCGAAAAAAAAAAAAAGATAGAAAGAAAGAAAAGAAAAGAAAAGAAAAGAAAAGAAAGAAAAAAGAAAGAAAAAAAAAAAATTCAACCCGTCAACACCCTTCCACAAACTAAAAGAAGAATACAAAACCAAGTGAGTTCTTATAACAAGATTCACCAAGAAAAGCAAGAAAAAGAAACAAAAGACGCGCACCAAACACCAGCTAAACCCATATCCAGACTCCAAACCAAATGCATCCAAAAATAAATAAATAAATAAGTAAATAAATAAAGATAAAGAAAAAAGGCAGAAGAAGAATAAAAGACACCAATAACAATCTTGTACAGTGGAACGAATCTCGGTTTAAAAAATATCAATTACAAAATTGACAAAACCGGTTCCTCTCTCGATTCATTTTTGTTGTTGTTCGATCGTTCGTAACCGCCCCACGAAAGCATATATGCCAACAAAATAAAAAACGTAGCGGCGATGGCGGTGGTGACGGTGATAGTGATGGTAGTGGTGACGGCGATGGCGGCACGGGCGGAAGGTGAAGGGGCGAGGCGGAAACAGAGGCGGAAGCAGAGGCCCTAACGGAGGACGACTCCGTGGAATTGAAAGTGCTGGTGCACCGGGGCGAAAGCGAACAAAACGAACAAGGCAGCGAAGGCCGCAACACTAGGATCCCCGAAAAGATGGCTGTGTGATCTGGATATCCTGCCAATCTATCACAGAAGCACAACCAGAGCCTATGGTTCGGTCAAATCAAGGTGAGGTGACAACGCTCCTAGGCGTGGGGGGGAAGGCTCACACCAGAAAAAAGATACCACGAAGGGGGCTCAGGAAATGGGATGCAGCGTGTGTGTAAATAATGGCAATTTTCACTCGAAGCAAGCTCAGCTAACTTTCCTCAAATCTCAGGCCAAACGACGATCCAAAATCATCAGTCCGGGTGAACCAATGAAGGGAACACAGTGTAAATAGAGAAAGAGTACTAGTTAGTTCGCATAACCCAAGATTCCAAGCCCAGGATTCAATCAAAAACCATAGCACCCAATAATGTTATTTCTCCAACTTTGCTCAAACATATGGAACAGTAAACTACGATCCCAAGACCATTGAGAACCGTCCAGATGAACCAGTCGAGGAGCACAGGGAACGAGAAAGAGTACTAATTGGTTAGTAGCATCCGAGACCCAAGGCCAGGATTATATTTCAACACCAAATCACTCAATTGCCGTTTCTCCAATTTTCCTCATGTCTCTGGAGCAGTAAACAAATGGATCCGAAGGATCAATAAATTACCGTCCGGGTGAACCAGTCAAGGAACACGGTGACTGAGAAAGAGTACTCACTGGAGAGTAGCGTCTGAGGTCAATGCGTTGAGACGCCGACCAACCAAATCCTGAATAGACCGGAGAATGTCCGTCTCCGAAAGCGCTGTTTCATTGCGAACGCTCTCCGGCGCGTTCGCAACGAGTTGGGTAACCAGCTGTGCAGCCCGCTCAGGGTACGCGAGCGCCCCGGACGACGAGGGACCAGCTGCGATGGCCTGAAGGGCCATGACTGCCAGATGCTCAGCCGGGGCCAAGAGGGACCATGCAGCTTTGGCAGCCGCATCTGCATTACCCAGTACTTCTGGGTCGGAGACCATTACAGCTTCCGACACATATCTGGAAGGGGATACAGTTCCCTCCGGAACCTGAGCGGTCACATCAGACCCAGGCGCCACCGAAGAAGCTATAACCCGAGCTGTTTGTGTTGCAACAACTGCCAACGCTTGGGTTTCCGCGCGGTCGCTAGAGGAAAGTTAGCAATGTTTGACACTTGATAACAGAATCGGGAGGTGGAGGAGGCGGGGAAGGAGGATAAAAAAAGGTAGAAAAAACCATGTCATACCGTTTAACCCGACACACAAAGTCTAAAATGAGGCCGCGTTCCGGTACCCGATACACTGTCCCGGACAGCTCTTCTTCATTGAGGTTTTGTGCCTCGTTGTCGGTCGGCAACACCTCAACATCGACGAACCTAAAGTTCCTCGGACGACGGAGCTGTGCCAATCGCCCTCCCTCCAGGCCGTCCATGAGGTCCAGGGCGTGATCGATGTGGTTCGGGCATTTCCAATAAAGGGCCGGGTTGTCACTCCCGGGCACTTGTGGAGGAGGATTGGGCAATGGAGGGTCCAGGCAATCCAGATGCCACGAACAAGAGCAGAAGTCGCACTGGATGATCATACGTCGCCCCCCGGACGTAAGGCCGCACTTAGTGCAAGTGATCAATTTACCTTTGGCGTCAGTAAGCCTAAGATAGGCATTACCGTCCTCAAGCCGGCCAGTGCGATTCACTCTAGAGCGACTACTGCCCTTCGGAAGAGCAGGGACATGTTTGTATGTCCCATCTTCACCAGTGTCGGCTCCTTCGAAGTAACTGCGGATACCAGCTGGTAGCTCGTAGTTTCTGGAAGGTATCCCCTCCAAGTCTTCCAGCGCGGCACCCCAGAGACCCTTCGCATCACAAGCTGGACAGAACCACTGTCCCTCCGGTGGCGAATCTGGGTCCTCTGGGGGATCCAGGCAGGAGAAGTGGTAGGAGCTTACGCATCCATCGCAGCAGAGAAGCTGCCCACTGCCGCCACACGCATGACAGAAGTCGATGTTATCCATCTCATCTGCCAGTCTGTAAGAGAAATCAAAACGTTAGACTTGACAACAAACTAAATCATAAAATAAAAAGACAGGAAAATCTGAAAAAAGAGATAAGAAAATACATACGCTACTGATTTCCGGGCTCTTTTTGGAGCCAGCTCAGTTGTCAATGGAACTCCATCGTCCTCTCCACCCGACTCGAGGGCTTCTATTGATTTCTTGCTACCAGTTGAAGTAGCAATCGAGGGAATGGGAAAGGCTGGCTCGTGAGCGACGGGCGTATTGGAGTCTCGGATGTTGCTCTCCGGCACTGAGATATCGGTGAAGGGCCTCGACAGTGCAGCGCGTTTGGCCGCAAGGACCTCATCAGAGTACTCAGGGTCTACCAACCTATTCCGCTTTCGAGTCGCTGCGTCCTCTAGTGACGGAAAGATTGACCGAG